TATCTAGCAGAGAACCAGCTAAAGTTTAGCCTGGTAGTACTGTAGCTGAGAGTCATCCCGACACAAACTCGAGATCACGATTATAACGAGCTCGTCTCTCTACAGGTGCAGACCTTCAACAGAGACCTGGGTCCATGTGAGACCAGAGACCTGTTAAAACCAGGTCCATATGAAGAAGTAGTTACGGTGATCTGGGTTCTGGTGAGCTCAGCTCCGGTGAGCCGGGCTCCGGCAGCGCCGCTCTGTGAAGCAGGAACAAATAAAGTAGACCAGCAAACGCAGCATTTGAATTTTAAAACTCTGCAGTGAATCAAGTTCAGGAGGAGAAAACAAAAACATTCAGGTTCTGCAGCTGATCTGAGGACTCTTCAGACTTTTGTTGACCTCGAATCATTTGAGTTTGGAGCAAAAAGTCATTTTCTTCTGAGTGAAGATGCAGCAGACGAGCTTTTATTTTGAAAGTTGACTGTAATTATTCTCTTCATTACTTCCGGCCTGGGTTCATTTGATAAAAGCAGATTTGAGTTGTTTCCTTCCTGATCAGACTGCGGTCACTGCTCCTCCTGCTGACTCAGCTCCTCTAGGCTCCAGGATCGTACTCCTCTCAGCTTCCTGAGCAGGCTGACGGAGACGGACCTGAGACAGACCTGAGACTGACCTGAGACAGATATGACATTGACCTGAGACAGACATGAGACAGACCAGAGGCAGACCTGAGACAGATCTTAGACAGATCTGAGATTGACCTGAGACTGACCTGAGACAGATCTGAGATTGACCTGAGACTGACCTGAGACAGATCTTAGACAGATCTGAGGTTGACCTGAGACAGACCTGAGACAGATCTGAGATTGACCTGAGACAGACCTGAGACAGATCTTAGACAGACCTGAGACCGACCTGAGACAGACCTGAGATTGACCTGAGACAGATCTTAGACTGATCTGAGACAGACATGAGACAGACATGAGACTGACATGAGACTGACCTTAGACAGACCCGAGACTGACCTGAGACAGACATGAGATAGACCTGAGACTGACCTGAGACTAACCTGAGACAGACATGAGACTGACCAGAGGCAGACCTGAGACAGATCTTAGACAGACCTGAGACTGACCTGAGACAGACCTGAGATTGACCTGAGACAGATCTTAGACTGACCTGAAACAGACATGAGACTAATCTGAGACAGACATGAGACTGACCCGAGACTGACCTGAGACAGACATGAGACAGACCTGAAACTAACCTGAGACAGACATGAGACTGACCTGAGACAGACCCGAGACTGACCTGAGACAGACCCGAGACTGACCTGAGACAGACATGAGACTGACCTGAGACAGACATGAGACTAACCTGAGACTGACCTGAGACAGACATGAGACTGACCTGAGACACATCTGAGACAGACATGAGACAGACCTGAGACAGACATGAGACAGATCTTAGACTGACCTGAGACAGACCTGAGACTGACCTGAGACAGAACGGTGACTGACCTGAGACAGACCCGAGACTGACCTGAGACAGACCCGAGACTGACCTGAGACAGACCTGAGACTGACCTGAGACTAACCTGAGACAGACCCGAGACTAACTTGAGACTGACCCGAGACTGACATGAGACTGACCCAAGACTGACCTGAGACAGACATGAGACTGACCTGAGACTGACATGAGGCTAACCTGAGACTGACATGAGACTGACCTGAGACTGACCTGAGACAGACCTGAGACTGACCTGAGACAGACATGAGACAGACCTGAGACTGACCTGAGACAGGCATGAGACTAACCTGAGACAGACATGAGACTAACCTGAGACAGACCTGAGACTAACCTGAGACTGACCTCAGACTGACCTGAGACCGACCTGAGACCGACCTGAGACAGATCTGAGACAGACCTGAGACAGGAAGTGGTCAGACTCATGTCCTGAAAAAATACAGCAGGAACTCAGCACAGTTGACAACCGATAAATATAGKTAAACAGTRTATGAGAGATTATGGACTTTGCGATGCATGGTGTTCTCTTCACACTAACAGCAACAAATACCTTCTTCTCACATGTCCACCATTCTTATTCTCGTCTGGATTATTTCTTAGTCAGCAGTTCATTACTAACCAACACTTCGGACAGTGAGATTCACCCTATTGCTGTCAGTGATCACGCACCAGTTTATTCGCTATGGCTTCTCTGGGGCTTTTTGGTGTACACTTGGCCATTGGTGGGGTACATACTGTGTGTATATATATATGTGTGTGTGTGTGAATGAATGTAGGTATGGACATGCTTATATATACACAGTATATGTATACCTTTCAGCAAGGTCATAATCATTATTATTATATACATGAATTATTTTTTGTGTTGCTGTGTTTTTGTTATCTGTGTTTCTGTAGGTATGTAGCTAAAGATGTCGAGTGTGTTGTCTCGTGTCTTCTCGATATTTATTTCACATATCTTCTAATCTGTCTTTCACTCTTTCCCATTACATTTCACTTTTTTCTTCTCTTTCTTTTTCTWCTTAAAAAAGTCACTGATGATGAAGAAATTAAGAAACTGACATTCAGTTCTTCTTTCTGCTGCAGTGTAAAAAAAAAAGACTCGTCTTGGTGTCGTTGTGTCCCTGCAGATGGAGCGGCTGCGGCCTGATGTGTGAGGCGTGTTCCAGGCGTGTTCTTGGCGTGTTATGTGAGCAGAGGTGTTTTCCCACCTCGCTGGTGGTGGGAAGAGATGCTGCGCTGTGTTGCCATGACAGCGGAGGTGCTCTTCTTCCTGGCGGTCCCGCTGAGCGGCGTTCTGTGTAACCCCGTGGCGACCTCGCCGGTCAGCAGGGACCGCCTAGAGCGGGTGCTGACCCAAGCCCGGGGGGACAGGCAGCAACATAAGCAGACCCCCGAGGACAGGAACAGGACTGCCCCTGGTCTGGGCAGGCCAGACCTCGGTCCCCTGAACCAAGGAGCCAAAGACAGGAAGCCCCTCCCCTCCCTGAGCGAGCAGGACGTCCTGCCGGACGAGGGTCCGACCAGCGACGTGTCCCTGTCGCTGGACGCCATCGACGAGTACGCCTACCCCGACTACCGAGGCAAAGGCTGCATGGACGAGAGCGGCTTCGTCTTCGCCATCGGCGAGCAGTTCACCCCCGGCCCCTCCGCCTGCCCCTGCCTCTGCACGGACGAGGGGCCCCTGTGCRCCAAACCTGAGTGCCCCCGGGTCCACCCCCGCTGCATCAGGGTAGACACCAGCCAGTGCTGCCCGCTCTGCAGGGAGGAGAAGAACTACTGCGAGTTCAGAGGGAGGAGCTACGCCTCGCTGGAGGAGTTCAAGGTCAGTGTGTCCTCTGCAGCCGGTCCAGTCAGAGCCTCTCCTACTGGTCAACAGACAGGAAGGAGCAGGATCCATGTGCAGATCTACTGAGCTGCTGMCAAACTTTAGTTTGAAACAAAGATAAGAAAGAAAACACTCGTGTCTTTATTTTAAACTAAACATTAAACTTGAATCTAAACTGAGGCAAATCTATCAATGAAATCTATTGAAATCAGACAAAAAAAGAACAGTATCATCAGCATACATTAAAATATTTGAATATTTCAATATTTTTGGAAGGTCATTTATGTATAATAGGAAAAGCAATGGGCCCAGTATGCTACCCTGTGGAACTCCCACAGAACAGGGCAGAGAGACCCGGACACAGAGCTTCCATGTTTCACAACCTGACACCTATCAGTCAAATAAGAGGAAAACATTTGTATTGCAGATGATGAAAGTTGAAAAGAAATCAACTTTTGTAAGAGAGTATAATGATAATTTATTGGAACTAAGCTGGAAATATAAATATGAAGGTCAATTAAACGATAAAACATGAGGTAAAGTTCTCCTTTTTTAAATTTAATTGGTGCATTTAAGTGTATTTATTTATTTATTGGTCCTTTCATAAAATTCTGCTTTTATTTCTGATCCTATCAGTGTCGATCCTCCATAAACAGCAGCTAAAGAACGAGTCTGAATGGATGCAGGAAATAAAACATGTAAGGTGAAATCAGACTTCATTAAGAACTGATCCTTCAGTATTTTAGTGTTTTGTTTATGAGGCAAAGAGTTTAACCTCAAATTGCTTCTTTTTGTAACGTGAGAAGTGTTTCAGCTGAGGGTCGAGGCTGAATTTAAAGCCAGAGCCTCGGAGCTGCGTGYGACTGGAAATGAAACAACAGGTAGGTTGTTACGCCTGATTGCTACATTCTGGGGCATTGTGCTAAGTGCTACCTCCGTCCATTCTTCCCAGAGGGGAGCGGAGCTTCGGCTTTGTGCAGAACAACCTCTGGAGGAGTGAAACTGCTGAATGTAAATCCAACTGTGCGCTCTTTTCCCCACTCTTTGTTCTATTTGCAGAAATGCTCATATACGGAGAAAATTGGAAGCATCTTTTTTTTTTTTTGTTTCCTCGCTCCTATTGATTTCCTCTTATCTCCTGATTGAATGGCGTTGGTTCAATTCTCAGCTCAGCCCCTCTCTAAGATGAGGTGCTCATTGACGATACAATTCAGAGAGCGGAGACTTCCCTATAGGAGCTGCTTTGTGGCTCTAAATGTGCCCTCTGCTAAACAATCCAGAGGCGGGCTGTGCATTGTGTGGCTGCATGTGTGCGGTCCTTACAGACACACTTAACGTGTGCAAAACAATCAATGCAGCAGAGCGGGGAGTCAGAAACAAAGACAGACGGAGATACATTTAACAGATGTTTGAGACAATCTGACATGAAGTTTGTCTCTGCAGCTCTCAGTGACCTCATGTGAAKAAAAAACTAAAAACTGATTTTAATCTGTTTATCTTCACATCTGGGAGTGTCCTGATACAAGTACTTCAGTTTGAGTACTCACTAATACAAGTACTTACTGAGTTAGAACTTAAAAAAACACATGTATTTAGAACAAGGTGGCTCTTCTTCTGATGATAGACACCGCTGCAACATTTTAAAATAAACACAAACAAGAGTTTCTTTCTGCTTGTTAAACCAAAATGTCTCTAACACATTTTATTATTTAGTTCACTGTTATTACATTTAGATATATTTTTTATTAAATGTTAAATCCTAAAACTAAATGTAAAAGAAAGAAATAAATATTGTGGCTAAAAGTTGAAATTAACATTTAAGTATTTCAGAATGGAACACAGCCTTTGCCATTAGTGTGTGGCTTTTGTTGTGACCTCATCATCCTGCGACAAATGCTAATGTTGCTAATGCTGCCAACAATGTGTATACTGCTAAAACTGCTAATGGTGCTAATGCTGTCAAAGCTACTAACATTGCTAATGTTGCTAAAGAACAATGCTAATGTTAATTTTGCTAATGCTGCTAACAATGCTAATGCTGCTAATGGTGATAATGCTGTCAAAGCTACTAACATTGCTAATGCTACTAAAGATGCTACCTCTGTTAACAGTACTAACATTGTTAATTTAGCTAATGCTACTAATGTTGCTAATGCTATTAACATTGCTAACACTGCTGCTACAGCTAAAGCAGTGTTAGCATTTGCTTTTGTCACAGGATGATGATGTCACAACAATAGCTGTGCACCAACAGCAAAGGCTGCGTTCCATTCCGAAATTTTTAAATGTAAACTTTAACATTTATGATTTAAATTTCACATTTAGACAAATGTAAGAACAGTGAGCTAAATAACAATAAAAAGTTAGTGGATTTTTTTTAACTTGGATTTTACACTCAAAGTGAGATAAAAAAGGAAAATGTGTTTGTGACATTTATTAACATTTTATTTTACACTTTGAACCCCGTAGAAATTATAAGACTTTCAATAGAGCATTGATATCAGTATCGATGCTCGTATTGGTATCAGTTCACAGTATTGGGGTATTTTGTACGAGTACTTGTAAAATTGATGGTATTTATGTTTGAAGTACTCCAGCAGAATAAATAAACGTAGAGGCTGTCAGGGTGGGTTCGAAGCGAGCCGAGGCGGCCCGCTTTGTTTTTCATCCTRTCAGTCAGAACTAAACTCTCCAAACTGATCTGCAGCAGGTAAGATAATGACTCGGTTCCATTTGAATGAAGCCATGAACCCGTTTCCCGCTCTGCAGGTGTCTCCATGTGAGAAGTGCCGCTGCGAGCCCAGCGGGGAGGTTCTGTGTTCCGTGGCGGCCTGTCCTCAGACGGAGTGCGTGGACCCGGAGTACGAGCCGGACCAGTGCTGTCCCATCTGTAAGAGCGGTGAGTGGCAGTGTTTTCAGGACCACACGTGTCCCGGCGGTCTGGGCCGACCATCGGATCTGTTTTTGGCTCCGGGGGGCCTTCGGCTGAAGTAATGAGGGCAGAGGCAGCAGCATTCATTGTGCTGACACGGACACAACGCTGCTGCAGCCTGAGCCTCACACATCAGCTTACATTTMGTTTAAAACAGGACCCAACAAAAAATGGCTTTAATGAGCCGTGATCCTGCTCCTGTGAGCCGTGTTCAGGTGGCCTGTTTTAACAACTGCAGGGAGAATTTAAAGAATGCTTCCCAATCTTGGCTGTGGACACTTTTAGTTATGTTTATAACGCCTTCTTTATTATTTTTTTCTCTTGGTTTCATTATTAAAAAGCTTCGACCCATCAGAGGAATCCTGCATCTCAGACCCGATTAGCTGAAGTGGTTTCAGATGATTCTCGACAGCTTGTCCCAGATTATGTCCCCTTGTTTTGTCGGTGTGAGCATAATGCGATGTGGCAGCGTCAGCGGCGCTGCTTCCTTCAGCAAAAAGAATCAGAACTTCTGATACGGATCGTCTTGGAGCTCCGCTCGCTGTTTGATACAAACAGGAACAAACAAACAAAACAACTTGCTCCACATAAAAACGCCTCGTAAGCTCAGAGGATGACAGAAGTGCTGCTTGTTAGAACTTTTAAAGCTTTTATTTACAGAATGTGATTCATACATCATCCACCTACTGACTCAATTAATCTCATTTCATTTTAAAGCTCAAAAGGACTTTATCTACTTTAGAAAACAGAATCACAGTTTGTTTTTAGCATGAAGGACATTGGTGTTTAGAGGATTTTAGAGTAAAAGTAAAGTCAAAAAAAGAAAAAGATCGAAAATATTTTGTCTGTGAACTGAAAGACCATAAAGAATAAAAGATTCAGTTGTGGTCAGATGACCTAGTTCTGATCAGGGGACTCAATTAAGGTCAGGGGACTCAGTTGTGGTCAGGGGACTCAGTTGTGGTCAGGGGACTCAGTTGCGGTCAGGGGACTCATTTGCGGTCAGAGGACACAGTTGCGGTCAGGGGACTCAGTTGCGGTCAGAGGACTCAGTTGCGGTCAGAGGACTCAGTTGTGGTCAGGGGACTCAGTTGTGGTCAGGGGACTCAGTTGCGGTCAGGGGACTCATTTGCGGTCAGAGGACTCAGTTGTGGTCAGGGGACTCAGTTGTGGTCAGGGGACTTAGTAGCGGTCAGGGGACTCAGTTGTGGTCAGGGGACTCAGTTGCGGTCAGGGGACTCAGTTGCGGTCAGAGGACTCAGTTGCGGTCAGAGGACTCAGTTGTGGTCAGGGGACTCAGTTG